ACCCTAAACCCCTAAACCCTAGCTAGCAGCCTCCTCGACAACCTCACTTCCGCCACGCTCAGGGCAGATCAAGCTGGATCTTCAGGACTCCCTGGAGAAGGATCCTGAAGGCGCCTGGGAGAAGGAGACGGAGGGGCCCAGAGAGCCCAAGACCCCTTAATTCCGAAATATACCTTAAATATCCTTAAATTATAGGGGCCTTCATATTATGACTTAAGGTATATTCCTTAATTAAGAAATATACCATTAAATCATAATATTAAGGCCCCTAGAATTTAAGGTATATTCCGTGATTAAGGGGTATTGGGCTCTCTGGGGATTTAGCTTCCAGGGTCGCCAGGTAAAGGCTTTCGGACCCAGGGCTCCTAAAGCTTTGAGGTTTCCATTCCAGGTATACGGGGGTGGGTTTAGGGTTTAGGGTTTAGGGTTTAGGGGTTTCCATTCCAGGGGATGTCACCCACTTCAAGTCGGGATCCTTGCTCTATGGTCCTACTGCGGCTACACTGCTTCACTTCAACTTTTCTGCATCAACTGCTACTACAACCACAACAACAACAACAACCACAACCACAACCACAACAACAACAACTACTACTACTACTACTACTCCTACTCCTACTCCTACTCCTACTCCTACTCCTACTCCTACTTCTACTCCTACTCGCCTACTCCTACTCCTACTCCTACTCCTACTCCTACTACTACTACTACTACTACTACTACTGCTACTACTACTACTACTACTACTACTACTACTGTTACTGCTACTGCTACTACTAATAACAATAATAATAACAATAATAACTTTCTTGACTACTGTTCCTGCAGCCCTCGCCATCTGATTCTTTATGCCCATGCTCCTCTCCACCTCCTTGCCTTTCTCACAGCTCGAAACTCCAGAAACCCCCCTAACATAAGCCCTTCACCATCGCACCTGAAAGGTCAGATCATCGCCGCAAAGATGACCCGGGAGCCGTCTCTGGACACAGCACAGACCCAGCAGAGTGCACAGAGCCAGCTCTCGGAGCCACAGTACCCGCGAAGCAAGCTCATAGGCCGGGACTCGCTGCTGTGCGTGTGTGGGCACATGTATACATATAGCGCGAGGGGGACAGACACAGACAGAGAGAGAGGGAGAGAGAGAGAGAGAGAGAAAAAAAAAAGAAAGACAGACAGACAGACAGAGAGCGAGAGATGCATGCCCATGTAAACTCACACACACACACACACACGAATTAAGAAGTAAACACATGAGTAGAACATGTGTGTGCGTGTATGTATATGTATATATACATATACACATATCGAGATCGAGAGAGCATTCATGTTTTGACTTCGAAGTACTGTATGTGGTTTTGTTTCGGTGTAGAGCTATATATCTGAAGCTGGTTTGATGCGGCTTGAAGTCTCTGTTTGTTTGCCTCCAGACTGAACTTGGTTTTTGTATGTTTTGTGTGCACGCGTCTGTTCCTTCGGGAATATAAAAGGCAACACACACGCACGCGCAGACTTTATCTTTCTTTTTCTCTCGCTCTGTCTGGCTCTCGCTCTCTCGCTCTCTCCCATGGGGGATAGATAGCTTTAGATGCTATTAACATATAAGAACATTTTTACAAGGAGTACAGGCACATCTTTCTGCACACATACGTACTCATGTTTACAATGCAGGGTAGCTTGGTATGAAGTAGGTAAGCAGGGCTTCGGGCTTAGGGTTGCGAGTTGATGGGTCAGGGCTCAGGGTTGGTAGCTGGTGATTGGCATGCCCTGATGTATCTTCTTATACTTCAAGTAGGCACAGTCTTGCTTATCTTACGTCGTTGCGCAACGTGGGGCCATGCAGGTTGACGGGGTGGATTGTAGTACAGAGGTACAGCAGCATCAAAATTTGGCCTTAAAAGTATACTGGTACAGTGCAGTATGAAGTACTGTCTGGTGCTTAGTGGGGAATGGGGGAATGGATCCCTATGATAGTCCTTTGAGGTCCCTTATAGTAGTCCCTATAACCCATTCCCCCATTCCCTACTAAGCACCAGACAGAGTACAGCTGATTGAGGAGAGCTTGAGCCAGATACCCGACTCCCCTCCTCTTCAAACAGACCTCCGGTCCTCAGAAACGCCGTTGGCTCCAACAACAGAAACCTTATCCATCTTTTTCTGTCTGGTGCTTAGTAGGGAATGGGGGAATGGGTTATAGGGACTACTTTAAAGGACCGTAAGGCCTTAAGGGACTATCATAGAAATCCATTCCCCCATTCCCCACTAAGCACCAGACAGTCTTGAATGTTGACGAGTCTGATATCTGTCGTGCCACTTGTCACTAAGCGGACAGGGCAAGGATTCCTCCAGCAACCGCGAGGGTTTAGGGTTTAGTGAAATGTACGCACATAGGCAGCCCAATCAACCAGTCTAATATAGGGGCCTGAAATAATTGCCTATACTATTCTTGGGGTTTCCTTGTTATAAGTATAGTATATTATACCGCAACACCCTATTGTCGTCCAGATCCTGCCAACAATCGGAGCTTTGGGCCCATACCTGCGGCCTGAGAGCTCATGTTTACCGAAGCAAGTTACTGAACAGACCCGGTTTAGGGTTTAGGGTTTTTCAGGGTTTAGGGTTTTTCAGGGTTTTTGAGGGTTTTTCAGGGTTTTTCAGGGTTTAGGGTTTAGGGGTCGGGCACCTTCAATGCCGAAACCTTCCGTCTTTTGCCGCAAAGCATGACAGCCAATGATGCCAATGCCAATTCCCCAACCATGAATTCCAAACGGTGATGTAGGGGCCTTAATAATTAGAATTGGGTTGGGGAGGTTCCTTAATATAGTTATAGTATCCAAAACCCTATTCTAATTATTAAGACCCCTATATTGCACCCTCCAGGCCTAGAGCCCTGAACCGTGAACGCCGGTAAACCAGCTTGGCACTTCGCATGTCAAGCTTCCCAGGCTGTAGTCGAAACACCACACTGCACTCGAAACCTGCATCCTGACTGCGTGGTTTGATCTAAACCCTAAACCCTAAAACCCTAAACCCTAAACCCTAAAATCCTGTGTCCCCGTGGAGGCTTCCTCTTGATGTGGGTGGTCTTGGTTTGCTCCATCCTCTTCCGTGGCGGCCATGCGGCTCCGGGCATCGTGGATGTATGCTCGAGCATGTCACTCTGATGCAGGTCGGGGTTTGGTTCAGGGTCTTTTTGTTGGACTGTTCTTCAGCGGCTTTAAGTTGTTTTCGTTTCAACATCATTGACCGGTTGGCATGTGTGAGTATACAGGAACACGATTCTCAAAGTTCTGGCTGGCTCTTGCATCCTCATCTTCCAAAGTTTCATTTGGCCGCTCGCTCCGGTTTCTGTGAAGACGCTTTAACCCGAAACCCTAAACCCTAAACCCTAAACCCCTAAACCCCTAAACCCCTAAACCCTAAACTTAGGCCCTAAACCCTAAACCTTAACCGCAAGGTACTGGGTCATCGCTGCAGCCACTGCAGCGCAGCTCGTCATCCTTAGCATGTCCTCCTCCGCCAATGCCATTCGCATGGAGGCTGAGCGAGGCCGCGGTGCCGGAAAAACCCAGGGAGCCCAATACCCCTTAGTTAAGGAGGATACCTTAAATTATAGGGGCCTTAATATTATGATTTAAGCTATATTCCTTAATTAAGGAATATTGGGCTCTCTGGGAACCTAGCAGCCTAAACGCGAGGTCACTTCGCCGAAGCTACGTATGATCTTTTTGCAGGCGTTCAAGGCTTGACCTGTCTAGTTTTCTAAATTAGGGTCCCTTCTGGGTTCCTTTTTATAAGGGTGCCGTACTATATTGGGGACCTAAAAATGGACCCTAATTTAGAAAACTACCCACCTGTCTACTATCTAGTCCAGAGCTTTGAGTTTTACCCAAAGACACAAAGCCTGAAACTTGACAGCCCAGTACGACCTCAGAGCTTCTCGCGCGACTCCCTAAACCCTAAACTCCGTAAACCATAAACCCAGGGAGCCCAATACCCCTTAATTAAGGAATATACCTTAAATTCTAGGGGCCTTAATATTATGGTTTAAGCTATATTCCTTAATTAAGGGGTCTTGGGCTCTCTGGGAAACCCTCAGTTCATGCGGGCCGGCCGCCGCAAGTGGAGGATGCCATCCCATGGACGCCTGAAACTCGGCCTAGCCTGGGGTCTTCATTCATACAATCTTTACGGTTCAGGGTTTAGGGTTTAGGGTTTAGGGTGTTTAGGGTTTAGGGTTCAGGGTTTCGGCTGTAAAGACCCAAAGAACAGTCTTTGGACTTTGAACCGCAGAAATGCTCGGCCTCGCAACACTGCAAAGGCATCTGAAGCTTGAACTAACAAATTGGAGCCCTTGCACCCCAAACTTGTCTTTGCAAGAAGCCTAGCTCAATGCGCTGAGACACGATTCGTTCCTGAAGGTTGCGAACCGCAGTATACGTCTCCGTGTGGTCGCTCTTCGCCACGGGCCAAGATGGGCTTGGCCATTTATTTCTCTTTATACACATACATATCGGCATAACAGTAGCCAAACCATACGGTGGAGCCAGTACACCTTTTTCTACGGTACCTTTTTCACGCTGCACGGCCACACCAGAAGCATCAGTTCCAACAATGGGGCTTGTACTCATGGTCATGATGAAACTCGCTATGAATGCACGAGTTTCAATCATTGACAAAGCTATTGTTCCAGCATAGTGGCATAGCACTAGCCCTTCTATTGGTTTTGTTGAATGAGTCTCTGTTCGACTAGCAGAAGCTGTGACAGTTCTGGCAGTCCTATCAGCAAAAACAGCACCAACAGTTCCAAGAGTACTTGTAGCACCAGTGCCGCTTGTAAACCCTAAACCCTAAACCCGCTTGTTGTAGTAGAATGGACAAAGAACAACGCCAAGGCGGGCATGCTGGCAGCCCTTTGCGGCATCGGCGGTGGCATGATCATGGGTGGCTGCCCCGGGTTCTTGATGATTTTTGTTTCTGTGAGCAACGCAATAAGTCATGCAGTTGCTTTCGGCCTTACAGTGCCGTTTTAGTGATCATGACCTAGTTACTGAGTTCCTTCAAATCTTGGAGCCGTAAATGTGACCATCGGGCAGTAAAAATTCTGGAACGACGGGACGTTCGTCTGGAGTATGCTTCGGAGTGTTGGATCGTGGAAGAAGAGCTCACAACTGGCAGCAAGTAATGGCGGGGTATGCATCGGAGACTCCTTGGCGGATTTCAGGGCGGACGGCACAAGATTTCTTTCCAAAGAAGCATGTGGGTAGTTCTCTAAATTAGGGCCCCTTTTAGGTCCCCAATATAGTACGGCACCCGTATTAAAGGGACCCAAAAAGGGACCCTCATTTAGAGAACTACCCATGTTGCTGCAACTGTGATGTGCATTTCGCAAGGCACCTAAGCCAAAACCTACAATCAGAGCTGGATTCTGACGGGCTGGCCGGCTTCACCCAAGGGCCCTTACCATAGCGATCGCAATAATTAGCCTTAGTAGCTATGCTGTCTTGGTACATTTTGGAAGCATAATCTAGCCAAAAACTCAAAACCCTTGGGTTTAGGGTTTTGGGTTTTGGGGACCTGTTCTAATCATTACAGTACAGCCCTGTTTCTGCCTGCAGGCCCTAAGCTCCTGGACTTGGGATGCCTGCCACAGGCTGGAGAACAGCATCCATTAGGGTTCCTTCGTGCACTCATACGGTTGATGATATAAATCCTGCATTACCTTAAGGACCCTAAACTATGGGCCCGAAACCCTGACCCTGAACTATGGGAATTATGGTATGTTCCTTATTATGGGTCATGCAGGCTTTATATCATCAACCGTAGTGGGTTTCGGGGCTCGGGACTCCAGGGCCCTAAACCCTAAACCCTAATTTCAGTGGTATTTTAGGGGTTTAGGACTGGGGTTGGGGAGGTTTTGGGCTTTAGGTTTCAATAATAGCGTCATAGAGGGTTTAGGGTTTAGGGGAAATTTCAACAGATAAGGTCTAGGGCGCCTAGATGACTAGTACTACTCGTTCAGAGGGTTCCTTCTTCTGAGAATAAGTACTCTGTTTATGCATGTATATATATATATATACTCATACTTATACGTATATATATATACATATATATATATATAGAGAGAGAGAGACTATAGATATACACACAGTATGGGGAGAGGCGCCCAAACTGTAAACAGTTGCCAATGTTTTGTCCCTTAGGGTTCGTTAAAACAGTCGCACCATGATGTGCCCGAAGACTCGTTCGATTCAGGCGCCCATATTACAATCTGTTCTCTGACATCTGTGTCCTTCCGTTAGTATCAAGAGCCCCCTGGCTGGGGCTGCTAAAGCCTAAACGCGGGCTCGTAAACCCATGAAGGCTGGCTAAACCCTACCGGGCCCTACATGCTTGCTTATACAGATCCTAAGCTCCAAAAGCTGCAACCCTAAAGCGAGTGCGTGGGGCTCTTCTTGTAAATCATGTTGTCTTTTTTCGGCCTTGATCATGACGAGCTATGTTAGGTATCTTCAGTGTGTCCGAATTGAAGAAAAAACTCCATAATCACATATTGTATACTGTGTATTATATATTATATATGCTATCTCTTATATATGATATATTTTATACTACAGATCAGTGACAAGCCCGCACTCGCTTCCCGCAGGTCCAAAGTGCAACTACAGCCAGGGGCCTGGCAGTACTTGAACTTCGTCTTTTCCTGTGTGGCGGCAGATTTGTACATCATGGCATGGCATCTGTGGAGTCGTGTACTAGGCCACTGGGCCATGGCTTCGGACCGAGGCAACAACACTTTTCGTCATGTCGACGTCGACTACTATCGCCTTCCTCGTGCAAGGCCAGTGGTTCCGGGTGATGCACCCATCGGTTTTGGGCCCCAAATATGATCGTCGCATGCACCCCTAAACCCTAAACCCTAAAACACCGACGCCCCAAAAGCTGCAAAAAAAAAGTTCCTGCTGCATGCGTTTCAGTAGTCCCACGGAGAGCAAGTAGAGAGAGACCCTCCACCCTAGAAGGCCCCAGAAGAGTTCGTTCTCCGTGGCCATAACGCAGAGGCACAGCGCCCATGGACTACTCGCTGTTTCTGGGGCTTGCCACTGCCATGGGAGCGGAGCCCTGAGATGCATCACACATCACAACAACAGGGTTTAGGGTTTAGGGGTATAGGGGGTTTGGGGTTTAGGGTTTAGGGTTTAGGGGTTTAGGGGTTTAGGGTTTAGGGGTTTAGGGTTTAGGGTTGAATAATGCCAAGAGCCTCCTCCCTGCATTGCTGCAAGCACGCTGGCGAACAACCGAAGTACAGCTTGTGCTTCTGCCTTTTGCCTATGACCCGAGTCTCGGTCCTCAACCCTGCCGCAACGGGCATTGAATCCCAGGAAACTCCGAGCCCCCAGACACAGTCGAGACTGAGGCCTAAACCCCGAAGAGGCTTTGAACACCCGAAAACCCGAACCCGCAGCCCCCGTCAAAACAAAGCCAACAAAGCGACCTGATAGACTCTGCACCATGCACACCTGAACCCCTCCATTTTGAGGCTGTGGTGGGCAAGGCCGTGATTGGCTGGGTGGTGAAGCGCACCCGCAGACCCTCGGCACCCTGGCATCAACCACGACTGCAGACCCGACTTGGACTGGCGGCAGATACCCAGAGAGCCCAATACCACCTCAATTAAGGAATATACCTCCCTATCATTTAATGATTAAGGTCGATTCCTTAATTAAGGGGTATGGGGCTCTCTGGGTACCTGTCATGCTAAACCCCTAAACCCTAAACCCAAACCGATTTCAAGTGCTTCGGTAGCTTTGTTGGGCATGCCCAGCACGAGCTTGGGGTAGCTAGCTGGCCTTCTTTCGGACTTGTCCGCTCAAGACCGTGACATCCATGTGCCTGCAGATTTTCGCTCTCCCTTTCTCGTAGTCCGCATGTTTAGCTTTTAGTTGGCAGGTGCAGCATCAGCCATTCGGGAGGTGTTGAAAACTCAGGATTGCATGTTCACGGGAGCGCGCTGGAACCAACACTTCTTTGTGCCATGTGAGATACGCATATGTATCCTGCGCCACGAAAGCCAGAAGTTTGCTTAACCCAGACCCATATCTTGCCATTGAGGTAATGATGTTTATCCTGGGTGGCATCATTGCTACATCAGCTGGCGCCTCAGACACGGGAGCAGATTCATGCTCGAGTCGAACTCTCAAGTAGAGGCCTTGCGCTCAGAAGCTACATGTGGCCACGGGGTGTAGGGCATTTAAGGGGTCAGGCCCTAAGTAGGGGGTGTGGCGTAAAGTATCCGCTGAGTCAAGCCGTATGCAGTGCAAAGCTGAGGTGGTTGTGATGTCCGTGACAGGCGCCTTGCGAGATATGACCGATCGGCGTAGGATTCAGGGGCTTCGTAGGTTTGGTAGGCTGTGACACACGATTTGTTCGAGAGGCGTCTGGAGAGGCTCGTGCACGCAAGTTTGCGAGGGTGAATCCTGCAATTCGCTCGTTTCGGGCAGACCGTGTCAGAAAATTGAGTCCGTGACACGGCACGAAAATGGGTTGGTTGGACTAGCCTAGTGGTGTAGCCCAGCAGAACACCAAACTCTGCACAGAATCGGGTTTTGCATGGCACTTGCCTGAAGCCTCCAGCCTGGACCAGCCTTTATGTAGGGGTGTTTGGTGGAGGAAGCTGTATTGCCGAGTGGTGCCATAACATCACCTGGAGGCTTCATCGATGTTGTGGACGACATCATACAGGGCCTTGGCCTCAAATGCCTGGTGCATGCTTTGCTGAGAGAGTTCCAGGTTGGGCAACTGTTTTTTGGCCACTCTTTTGGGACATTAAACCCCAAACCCTAAACCGCATGATGGCCTTAAATCTCCAAGAACCCTAAAGCTCACGGTTTAGGGTTTAGGGTTTAGGGTCCTAAAGCTCTGGTGGCCGTGGTCCGCAGACAGCCGAGGACGCGACCTGGGCTTCCGGGATCCCTGCGTCGTGGCCTGATTCGTCCAAGCTTCCTTAAACCGTAAATCCAGAGCCCAAGCAGCATCGAACAATTAAATCCCCGAAGCCCTTACAATCTAAGACTTATAGGCCCAGAATCTCTCAGATCCTATGAGCTCCATAAGCTTACATGGCTCATCTGGAAGATCGTCTAGCTTCGGTTCGATCCACAGTCAAGGCTCATCGTGTTATATAAGAGTCCCCGATGCAGCATCGAGCCTAAGCAGAGATGGTCAGAAGATCACCCTAAACTCTGAACCCTAAACCCTAAAACTCTCAACTCTCAAACCTCCCTAAGCCCTAAAGGGCCCTGCTGGGCCCTACCACGGTTTGAAGACTGAGCGCTCTGCGTCTCCTCGCTTTGCGGCTCCCTGCCGCGGGCCCCAAGGAGCTCACCGAACAACTCGGGAGCTTCGGGGTCAACCAGAAGGAAGCACAGCAGGAGACACCTATAGAGGCCTCAATAAACAGAAGAAACCCTTTCTGTAATGATAATAATAGTAATAGTAGTAGTAACGATAATGATAATGGTAATATAGTTTTAGTTTTTCTAGTAGCAGCAATAATACTATATAATAATTAACGATATCATTTAGCGCTAGAGATGTGCTTCACCTTAATTGCTGTCTCCTGCGGCATGCTTCTCAGCCACGCCAAATTCGAAAAGAAACTCTTGGCTTGGTTACACCAACAGCGGTGCGAAAAGATTGGCAAAACAACTTGTCAGTTTGCATCGACAAAGGCCTGTCCAAATCCTACAACACATTGAAGCCTAGAGCCTAAAGCCCCTAGCCAGGGAGCTTCGCGGGCGTTGCTTGTGAGATTAGGACCAGGTGGAGAGTTCAGTTGCGCAGGATTGCTGAAAAGAACGTGGTTGTCTCAGGCTGTCAAGCTCAGTGAACAGAGTAGAGTGCCTGGCGACGATGGCGAATCACGGTGGCCGCCGCCGCAACGAGTGGGAGCAGTGGAATCAAGCAGGCTCCGGCAGGCCTCCGCGCACTTGAAACATGTGTGTGGGTATGTGTATGTGTATACATATATATATATATACATACATGCATGCATATATAAATATATATAATGTTAGGGTCCCTTTAATAAACCCCCCCCCCCGAGGGCGTTTTGCGCGGGGGTCTCTTGGGGCAGGGTTTGGGGGGGGGGG